AGCTTAGGCAATATTCAAGCGACAAACTTTTTAGTGGCTGGAACTAGGTATATACAAGTAGCTAGCTTCCTTTTAAACTTTGTTCACTGTGATTCTCTTTATTTTCAAAAATGAATGTTTTGTGAATTTGTGGTCTAATAGAATGATGATAGCAGTAGGAGCAAAGGTATCCTTGATTAGAGTTAATGCTCTTCCTGATTGGCCTCTGATGGCTGTTTTTGTTCATCAAGTTCAACAACTGGATGCACAGAGAGAAATTATAACCAACAAATCTATCTAGCATCTTAGTGATACAGCCATAAAGAATGTTAGAAAGTCACTTCAAATAGTTTTATTTTATGTCTGCTATGTGTTTGGTTAAATACTAGTTTTATTTTATGTCTACTATGTGTTTGGTTCAATAGATGACTAAACTAAGGTTGTCTTTTTTTGTTCTGTTCTATAGATGCTTTCTACATCCTGTTCACTTGTAGCAAGAAGACATTGGGAGAATGCAAGGGCAGAACTGTGGCGTGAGGAGCTGAGCTGATTGAGGAGATTGAGCAAAAGGTAGAAGGGCTCCAAGAACTTGAGGAAGCCGGTCAAAAGTAGCAACTTATTCAGTCAAATGCATATATATGCACTTTACTCAAACATCACTGTATCTAGTTCTTCAACCTGGCTTCCATATGATAGGGAAAAACGAAGCTAAGAAAATATTTTACAGCAAATTATGTTAAACATTTTTATTCTTTTTTTCCTAATATTTTACATGCTTTAAATGAGCATTTTTTCAAATATTTCAATATATGAAGAATTGAAGTTGATTATAGAAGCTTGAGAATTTCTCTTCATTCTAAAAAAGAAAAATTGACAAATGGTATTCGTCGATATAGAAAAAAATAAGCACAGGAGAAAATTATAAATAAAATAAAATTGAATCATCAATTGTAAAAAAAAAAAAAAAGGATCTATACTGATGGAATTATCTGTTTGTAAAGGTAAGGGTCTATACAGACAGAAAAATTCTTAAGCTTTCTCAAGGTCTATACCAATGGACAAATCTTCCATCGGAATAGATCTGAGGGTTTATACAGACGGATTAGGCGTTGGTATAGATCCTATACTGACGAGGTTTCTACCGACTGAAAATTCTTCCGTTGGAATAGTACAAGGGGCCTATACCAACGGAAAAGGGCGTATACAAACAGAAAAATTCCGTTGGTATAGATGCATCTGCTTGTAGTGTAATATGGATGGCCATTAATTAAAGTTATAGCATGCGAACAAGTGTAATCAAGTATCAAGAAAAAAAAATGTACAAGTACAAGAATGAAATAGACGTCCCTTCTATAAGTCATGGCCAGTGTTTATAAACCTCCCACTGGCAAGCATAGTAATAATTAGTGTACTATCCCACTAGTAGGAATAATAGGACAAACTGGTTTCCAGAAATACATGTCAACATGTGCTAGCGTTTATAAACCTCCTACTAGTGGGCACAATAAAACATGACCATATTAGAGACTAAACCAGGCAGGAGTTACAAGAAAATCCATAATTTACAAACTAATTTCAGGTTATCAGAACAGTTCAGTAAACTCCAAGAAGGCATACTCAAATCAATAAATGATAACACCTTCATTTTAAACCAATCATGCTCATTTTTTTGTAAAACAAGTTTAGTCCCACCACCATTTCAAAAACATATCAAAATTATGCTTTTAAAACCTTTACCTTAAAATCCAAGGGCATTTACCATAATTTTACTTGTCTCACCTTGTAAGTATATAACAAGCAAGGAATTCAAGAACTCAAGGCGATTGAGGTGATTTAGAACCAGAAACTACTGGAAAATGGTGATCTCTTACTATGGACAGCAAACCTAGCACAAATCTATTTTCTCATGGTGAAGAGGTGTTGGGCTAGCTTAGGGCTGGAGGCTGCAGAGCTTTGGGTGAGGGGTTGGAAAACACACAAAAGCGAGGAAAAAGAAGTCAGCCTAACCCATTTATCAACAATTTTTCTCTTTTAATCCCCCCTTAAGTTTGGAAATTTTAGTTATTAGGCCATCAATAATAATTTTCCTCACATAAGTCCCTAACTTAAATTTTAAGGTTTTTACAAAATTTTGGGATATTACAAAAATTTTGTTTCATATGTGGATGTATGGGACACATGATTTTTTATTATGGGATTGGATTTCAATTAAAAGAGGCTGGAGAGAAGTTATCTCACCCTTACAGAACATGGCTGCGAGCATAGAATGAGTATTGTGGACTAGAGAATTTTGAGGAATTGGTGTTGTCTGATAGTAAGTTGAGATCCTTGAAGGTAAGAAATAAACTAATACTGTACAATAATCAAATTCTTCACTGGAGGGTGAGTCATCCAAAGGGAACCATAACCATATCGATGATGGCAAAGCTAGCCAAAAATTGCTCCATGATGCTCAATTGGTCTGCAAGGAAAAACAACTTACTAGTATAGAAGATGGAGATGCAAATAAAAGAATTGAGGTGGTTAGTAATTCATCAGGTCAGCAAGATTTGGCCTCCATTCTGAGGAATGTCCCTCTCATTCACATAATCAATGTAGAAAAGAGAAAGGTACATGGTTCGAACAAGAAGCAGAACAAGTTTGGAAAAGATTTAGTCCAATCACCAAGTAAGAAGATGGAAAGGTAGGGAAGATGGATAGGAAATGGAAGATGGTCCTTGAGGTGCTTGGCGAGGGCAGGGCATCTAAAGTAAAATTGATGGTTTGGGTACTATACTTGTCATGTAGATGGAATAAGCGTTTCATCCGTTTGCAGGCTAGTACACTACTTAACCTTGGACAGAGCATTATGGTGCTAGGAGACACTGCATCACAAAGTCCTCTGATCTCTCGTGCTATGTTTGGATGGTAACATAGATGTGATTACCAACAACGATAGTAAACTCCAAAGTAATCTTTCTATGTTGATATATAGCTCTATTGATACCTCTATAATGTATATTAATATTTAGAGGTTCCCATTTCCTAATTGTCCTATTTGTAAGGAACACCAAACTCTATATGTCAATGTTATAGGTCATTTCTAACTAATTTATATTTCTTGCATAGCCTATATGGCACGGTATAGTCTACATTGTAATTGTTTTTCAATTATTAATACAACTATACTTTTTATCAAAAAAACATTTATCATTTTCATATAAATTAATTACAAAAAGATATATTTATTACACATTTAACTTATACCCTCAAAACACAAATTAGAAAAACCCAATGTCATATAAATAGCTTCCACAGAAATGAAGGATGTGGAACAAAAAAACATTACTTTGTCATTAAGTATAGACGGTTGTGCACGGAAGGACCACTTCGCGAGTTGCTGTAGACCACAATGACTGAAAAGGATGCGGCTTTCGAGTCCGCCTAGAGTCTAAACAGCTCTGGTACCTTCGTACATGTGCTTTATGCGTCTATCCAACTCGGCTTGTTCAATTTCATAGGTCAAGCAGGCCCTAGAGTACAACTCTCTGCATCTAAAATTGCTGCTGATCTCCCCACTAAGAACCCAGATGTACCTTTTTATCTTGACCACATGCTGCAACTCCTTACTTACTACTCTCTTCTCACCTACTCTTCGAGATCCATCAGAGAAGAAGAAGATGGGAAGGTTGAAAGGCTCTATGGACTTGCTCCCCCAACCAAATCATCTGTTCCCGATGAAGATGGAGCTGCCTTGTCCGCATTTCCAACTAATAAAAGAATGATAGAGCCCTTGTAAGCAAAATGTTTTTCTTTTGATTTACAACTAAGTAAGTACTCCCTTGCAAAATATCCCACTTAGATACATTTTCCATCTAGATTTAATGGCTAAAGAAAAAATAAGTTAAAATGCCAATTTGGTCCCTTAGCTTTCAAATTTATACTAAAGTTGTCTTTAAATTTCAAAAAATACCAAAATTATGCTTGAACTTTAATTTTCGGTACCAAAGTAGTCCCTAAACTTTAATTTAGTACCAACTTAGTACTTAAACTTTGAATATAAGTACTAACTTAGTCTTTTAACTTTAATTAAAATTACTCATTCGATCCTTTAACTTGGATTACATATCAATCTAATATATAAATAAAAATTTCATGATGGTAAAATATAATTATTTCATTTTATAAGTATTAATATTTTAAAAAAGAATTAATTTTGTTGAAAGATAATGAGTCACATAGTACTTTCGTTAATGGAAGGATTATTTTGGTACCAAAAATTAAAGTTCAGGGATAATTCTGGTATTTTTTAAGTTCAAGAACAATTTTGCTATAATTCTAAAAGTTGAGAGACCAAATTAGTTTAAAAATGCAATTTTACCATATGATTTACACCAAATTACTATTGAACAAATTACCATTGATTTAAGATTTATTCATGTTTTATTCAAATTTATTAAATATAATTATCTTTTTTATCTAAAAAGTTATTAAATCTCAATAATTAAAAGTGAAGAGATGAATTATTAAAATTTTATATAAGTGCAGTATATAAAATTTATGTATAAATAAAGTCCTAATTATAAAAAAATAATTGTTTTTAACTTTTTGTACTTTATAATTTGTAGATTTAAAGATTTACAATCTAATTTTGTAATGCAATTTTTTCAACTTACTAATGAATTAAATCCTGCATAGTATTCACTAATTTAAATTATTAATAAAAAAATTTTATTAAATTCTCAATTTGTAACCATTTTAAAATAAAAAAATTTAATAAACAAGAAGTGATTTTACAAAGCCACTCACGGCCACCCAAAGCACTGGACAAAGAAGCACCTACTATTAAAATGAAAACTGTCAAATAATTAAGGTTAAATGTCAATTTTGGTTCATCAACTTTATAGTTTTGTATAATTTTCATCATTTGACTTTTTTATACACTTCATTAGTGCCTTAACTATGAATAATATACTTTTTTAGTCCTGTTATTTAGTTTGTTTAGTCATCTATGTAAATCTGCATATTTTTTGTCTTTTAACTTTTAATATATGCATATTTTGGTTCGTCAACTTAAAGTTAAGAGACTAAAAATGTGAATATTTAAACAAACTTAATAGATTAGCTGACAGAAAAAGATAAAAAAAAATATATTTTTTATAATCAAAGAACAAAAAAAAAGATATAAAAAGTTAAAAGATGAAAATTATGTAAAATCTTAAAAGTTAAAGAGACTTAAATTGACATTTAACCGATAGCTGTTCCGGATGTGAAGAATCAATGTAAAACAGGAAACCTTATCTTCAAGCATTGAAGGAGGTTGCGCACGGAAGGACCACTTCACGAGTTGCTGCAGGCCACCATGTCTGAAGAGGATGCGGCGTCTGAGTATGCCCGGAGTCTAAACACCTCCGGTTACTTCGCACCTGTCCTTCATGCGTCTATCCACCTCGGCCTGTTCAATATCATAGCTCGAGCAGGCCCTGGAGCAGAGCTCTCCGCATCTGAAATTGCTGCTCAGCTCCCCACAAAGAACCCATATGCGCCTTTTTATCTCGATCGCATGCTGCGGCTCCTTGCTTGCTACTCTCTTCTCACCTGCTCTGCGAGATCCATCAGAGAAGAGGAAGATGGGAAGATTGAGAGGCTCTATGGACTTGCTCCCCCAGGCAAAGCCTTTGTTCCCGATGAAGATGGAGATGCCTTATTGTCCGCATTTCCATCCAATTTAGGAATAATAGAGCCCTTGTAAGCAAATTGTTTTTCTTTTGATTTACAACTAACTAAATACTTCCTTGCAAAATATCACATTTAAACACATTTTCTTTTTGATGGCTAATGAAAAAAATCTATAGTTTTACAGTCTACTCTACACTAAATTATTATAAAAAGAGAACTGTTTTAAATTTTTTGCACTCTATAATTTGTAAATCTATAGTCTTACAATCTACTCTCTTTTAAATTTCAAAATGCCAACTGTTTGTTAATTTTCCCTATTTTAATTTGTAGGCTACACTTGAAAGATTTCATCCTTGAAGGAGGAGGCAATCTGTTCGAAAGAGTACATGGGATGACCTTTTACGAGTACGTAAGTAGAGATCCAGAGTACAACAAAGAATTCAGCAAGACATTAACTAATTATTCCAAAAGACCCATGAAGAAAATCCTTGAAATATACAGAGGATTTGAAGGAGTAACATCTTTACTCGATGTTGGAGGTGGAAGCGGAGCTATCGTTGACATGATCGTGTCAAAATACCCGCCCATCAAGGGCATAAATTTTGACCAGCCTCATGTCATACAGAATGCCCCATCTTATCCTGGTAATTGAATTTTATTAATTAGTATTTTTTAAAGAAAACCTGAACGGCATGTTTAGTTAAAGATACTAATTTTATTGAAAAATTTTTAATAAAGCATTGGTTGAGAAAGTATGGTATATAATATTAATAAATTTTGTAATGAAATATTGTCATAATCTTTTTGAGTTACAAAGACTCTGCTTAGTACAATTGTAATTTGGATTTTTGGTTTTACATTTTATAAATTTTGCAACTTTAAATAAAAAATTTGTTTACTTTTATGTGTTTTTGCAATATATTATCATATATCATTAGAAAAATAAGAATAAAACTAATCTGAATACTACTATTAATCAAGTTTATATTTTTTGTTGTTAGTGTTAAAACTCTTTTTAAACAAATTTTCAGTTTTTGACTTCTAATATTGGTTTTCAATAGTTTCAAAATTTATAAAAATCAAAACAAAAAATCTAAAAAATCATAACCATGGTAAACAAAGCATAAATTTTCTATGTTCAATAAAAAAATTGACATAAAAAAGTTATCATGTGCATCACACATAGGAAATTGTGTTGGGAAGTTGTTACTTTATACCATCTTTTTGTAGTGATACCAAGTTCTGAAAATATCCTTAAGTGGTTCAATGATTAAAATCTTGAAATTCTAAATTAAAAATCTTAAGTTCAAACCTAGAATTAAGTGAAAAGAAATTTAAGAAAAAAAGAATTATCTCTCTTGTATACCCCATCATTATCAAATATACCAAAAATCAAGGTTTGAAAATGCACAAATACCCTAAAGAACCTAAATAAGAAGGAAAGTTGTGGAGAAACTTTTCTCCCTAGCCAAACACACCCAAGGGTTAGATAGACAAGTGTCTCAATGGCTCAAATACATCTTATCTGTTCAAACAAACAAAAAAAAAAATTAGTTAAAGACCTATATTTTTAACATTAGTTTGGTGCTTTGGTGAAATTATATCTGCAGGTGTTGAACATGTTGCCGGAGATATGTTCGTAAGCATCCCAAAGGCTGCAGATACTCTTATGATGAAGGTGTGTTCCAGAACTACATTAGGGGTAGATTTTTCCCAAAAAAGAAATACGATATAGGGATTTATTTTGTGCATTTTTGCTTGTGGGTATATCATATATCCAAACACAGGATGTCCTTCACAATTGGAACGATGAACTATGTGTGAAAGTCCTTCAAAATTGCTACGA